GATGCAAAAACCGACCAAAAAATCCAAAGTTCTCCAAAATAAAAACCAATTGTTTAAAACACTTATTTGATGTATTTGGATAAGAAATCAAGTGAGACACTTTAAAAATCACGTCATTTGAGTAAAAACCACGGCTAGCCAAGTTTACGCCGTTTTGCGTGGTTTTTGTCAAACAACTAAAAGCGAAAGATGGTTTTCAAAGTGTTTTTGTTGGAGAACCGTTTAAACATGCCAAAGAGTGAAAGAAGATCATAAAATGCTGAAAACCACTTGGTTGGTTCGGATGCCAAAAACCAAAGCCGACAACCGAAAGCCGAACACTGGTTTTTGAAAGCCGAACACTGGATGGCTTGGTTTTTGGTTTGGGCGAACACCAAGTGTTTTTAATGACTTAAACAAGTTTGAAAAACATTTTTATGATGTAAGAAATGCAATGAGAGATTTTAGCCTAAAGAGCCAAAATGTAAAGATTGGGTCGGTCTTGATCTAAATAAAGACCGACTCAATACTATGACTAAGGTCTTCGCTCTTGGTCTTCGTTTAGCTCTTGCTCTTATCTTCGTTCTTCGCCTTGTATATTCAATGTCTTATCTTGATCACGGCGGTTTGGCATTATCAAAACCTGTTACAAAAACGAACACGGCTTTAGTACGAAAACGTGGCAAGCCCGTGTTTCAACAATATATATGTTAGAAAATAGGCCCAACGCTAGAGGGGGGTGAATAGCGTTTAAAACAAAAACACAGGAAATTAAAAATGAGAGCAATAAAGTAAAGAGCGTAAGGAAGGAGCACTGAATTTTATCCTGGTTCACCATAACGTGTGGCTAATCCAGCCTTCCGAGAGACTCTCTCGAGTTACACTAACTCTGTTAAGCTTAAAGGTGCTCAACAAACCAATACAACTTCAGAACTCGAGTCACACGAGCCTCAACGCCTTTGCTCAAAGATACCGCACTCCAAGACTTCTCACGAAGGAACGAAAGACTTCCTTCAAGTTTACCACAAGGGAACAACCTCCCTTAAAGTGTATAGAAACACTTAAACACTCATGAATAAAACTCTCACAAAGAGTAGATATGAGTGAACTAGTAAACGCTCAAGAACACGACAATTTCTTCAAGAATTGGCTCTCAAAAAGCTAAGAAAAATAGGAATGCTTATGCAATGAAAGAGTATTGAAATGTTGAAGAATTGTGTGTAACATGAGAGGATTTGGGTGCTATTTTATAGCCTAAAATGGGATCAACCTGTTGCTAGAATTTCCAACAGGATGAAGACAAATTTTTCAGAGATGCACGGTGATAGTCGATTGTCTAGCCTTGATAATCGATTATCAAAAGATTCCCTGTCCAAAAATTTAAAATTCTATCCGTTGGAAGACAATGGTAACACAGATAGTCGATTGTCAAGTTGTGTCACTCGACTATTAGGCCTCTCAGAAGTTTTTGGGTTTAAGGTACAAACGCAGATAATCGAGTGACAAAACATGTCAGTCGACTATCAGATGGTTCGGAACTTAATGTTCAGAATCTGCAGCAGCCAAAATTCGATAGACATAAACTGTCATTCGATTATTAGCTGGTAAAAACCATCCAGCGAAAAACTTAACCTGAAAAGCCGAGGTCCAAAAACGAAGTGTTCCCAAAAGTTAAAACCAAGTCTTCGAGGTCGTTTGTCACGTGTGTACGATTTTGACCGTTTTTTCACGTGTTACACCGATTGACCAAGATACAAAAGTGGTTTTTATAAAATTATTATTTGGGAACCTTTAGAAAAAATGAGGTTTAAAATATTGAAAACCACCGAGTTGGTTCGGACGCCGAAAACCGAACGTTAAACCCCTAATGACGGACGCCAATGCCGAACGCCGACCGAGGTGGTTTTTGGTCTGGGCAAGGACTAGGGTTTTTAATACAATAAAACTTTTAAAAAAGTTTATTTTGATGCACACAAAACGTTTTATGATTTTGTAAAATTATTTTGACTCTTTGAGAACCGAGACTTGAATTGATTGTCAGTTTTGATCACAAGAAGAGCGACTCGACTGAATCTTGAATTCTTGATCTTGTCCTTGAGTCTTTTGGTCTTGTTCAATGCCATTCTTCGCGCCTTACAGTCAAGTTATTTAGGTAGGAATTCATTCCAATTGCAATCATTATTACAACTCTTGGTTCGGTGGATTCTTTTAAATAAAATTCTTAATTGGGCCAGATCCATATTTCATATAACTATAGTTGTGCTTTGCATCTTGCCCTACAATTAAATTATTTCTGGTAGGAATAAATTCCAATTGTAACAATTTACAACTCTGGTTGGATGATCTGATTTTATTTATTGATCCTACCGTAGTG